TTGGGGGGAGGGGGGGGGGGAGAGAGAAGCGGCTGCCGGAAGGAGGGCTGGATGCGGGCAGCGGGGCTGGCCAAGGGAGATTGGGAGGAGAAGTGCGGGAGGACTGGCTGCCCGGGAAGAGGTGGAGGGGAAGTGGGGCTGGCCAGAGGCACAGCGGGGAGAGCAGGGGGGAAGAATGAATCAGCCTGCGGGGAGTGGGACTGACCCGGCCTGATCTTGGGGTGCTGCCCCCATTCCCCCCTCCCCCCCCAAAAAGCACAAAGGATGAGTTAGTCTGGCCCGGGGATTCTATTGTCCCTCCACACACACACTCCTCGAGTAGTTGCGAACTGTCTGGCTGGTAGACACACTCATGCACCTGAGCACATTTACTAGCCAGGCAGTTCGAAACTACAAACTGATACAACTAGTAATAATACAACTTACCTAATGAGAAAATACCAGATGTGTTATATGTCTGGTATTTGCTCAGTTTGTTTTTTGTGTGTTTATATTTTTGGGCTGCAAAAAGCAGTACTGAAAAAAAAGGTTCCAACTAAAGTAAAATGTTTGGGAAACCCTGGTCTAACCAGCTTTCTGTCTGTCTTACAGTCCATTTATCCAATCCATATTTCCTTGCTGGCAAGAATACTGTGGGTCACCATATCAAAAGCTTTGCTAAAGCTGGATCAGAAACAACTTATTTGAATATTCATCATTTGATTGATGAATATGCAAATGAACATGACCGGTCCTCCAAAAGTTCATGAATGGATTTACTGGTCCCCGTGTCAGAAAGTTTGGGAACCCTTGCTCTACACTGTTTGAGCTGTTCTATTTAGTCAACTTTGAAATGACAATATGTTCATACTGTATGTGTTGATACTTTTGCAACTCTTTCATAAAGAAATGTAGTGAACATAAATGTATAGTTGGGTGGAGGAGACTAAAATGTCAGTGAACTTTATTTGCATCACAGGTGATAGAAGGGTATGAAAAAGCTTGCAAGAAAGCCTTGGAAATTCTTCCTGACTTAGTATGCTGTTCTGCAAAGAATCTGCATGATGTTGAAGAAGTGGCATTTTTATTGCACACCCCAGTAATGAGCAAACAATATGGCAATGAAAACTTCCTGGCAAAGCTTATTGCTCAGGCTTGTGGTAAGTAAACAAATATTCATGTATCAGGCTAAATTAGCTGAAAATATAAGGCCTAATGCCACTGGGGGCAAGGGAGAGAGGGAGAAGGTACAGGCAGTCCCCGGGTTACGTACAAGATAGGGACTGTAGGTTTGTTCTTAAGTTGAATTTGTATGTAAGTCGGAACTGGCGTCCAGATTCAGCTGCTGCTGAAACTGACCAGCGGCTGACTACAGGAAGCCCGAGGCAGAGTTGCTCTGCCCCGGGCTTCCTGGAATCAGCCGCTGATCAGTTTCAGCAGCAGCTGACTTGGGGACACCTGGGGTAGAGCAGCTGGGGTGCTGCCGGGTTGGTCCCCAGCGGCAAGGAGCGGCGCTGCGGAACCAACCTGGCAGTGCCCCAGCTGCTCTACCCCAGGCGTCGGCGAGAAAAGCCTGGTTTGCTGGGGTGGGGGTGGGGAGCACACTGGTTGCACCTCCCCTCCCCCAGCAGACCAGGGAGACGCGGAGCAGCTTTTCTCAGCAGACACCTCAGCTTGAGAATAAAGGACTGAGGGAAGTGAGGTGTGGGAGACAGACCAGGGAGATGCGGAGTAGCTTTTCTCACCCCGGAGGACGCGGGCGGCGGGACCGTGGCGCGTCTGGGCGGTCCTGCCGCCTGCGTCCTCCGGGGCGAGAAAAGCCCCGTTCGTAACTACGGATCCGACATGAGTCAGATCCGCGTAACCCTGGGACTGCCTGTAATTCTTTTCCTCTTACCAACTGAATTCTCTTCATGCTGATTGTGGCCCATCTGATTGGTCCAAATGGCTTTCTAGTAAGCCTCATGTTTTCAAGATGAAAATCTGTTTTTGTCTTTGCAGTTGTATTCATGCTCTAAGTGTATCATTTAATCTACATGTGATATCAGTGTGTTCTGTTATATAGTGATATCTGTGTTCTATAGAGCTTAAGAATACAACTCTCATTATTAGTGCAAAATTTTCCTCAAATATTAGGGACTAAATTCAATCTCAGCATAAATAAGCACAGGCTGGACTTGGCTTGCTGGCTGCATTGATTTGTGTTCTCTTGGCATTGCCAAATGCTGCTACTCCATAGAGACGTGTTCTATATTCTGTTTATACATCACCTATACTTGTATGTACCAATGATTAGTGGGAAAGGTAACTTTCCTGCTAATGTATAAAGTTTGGCAGTTAATTTCTTGATCTCTTTATTTGGTTTCAAAAGCTTTTGAACAAATATCTTATTAGTACAGTATCTTCTATTTGAATGATGCATATGATTTTCTGATGTCACATTTGTATTTTGCGCGTATATAATACATGGTTTTTTTTTTCTCAACAGTATCTATTCTTCCTGAATCTGGTTATTTCAATGTTGACAGTGTCAGAGTATGCAAAATTTTGGTAAGCTTTGAACTGCTTTCACTAAAACATGACTAATTCTACTCCTGGGGAAATTCTGTGCCAAAAAATTAAATATTTTAAAATTCTGCATATTTTTGTGTACAGGCAGTCCCCGGGTTACGTACAAGATAGGGACTGTAGGTTAGTTCTTAAGTTGAATTTGTATGTAAGTCGGAACTGGTACATATTGTAGGGGAAACTCCAGCCAAACATTTCTCCAGAGCTCAGTTTTATTCTTCCACACCTCACTTCCCTCAGTCCTTTATTCTCAAGCTGAGGTGTCTACTGAGAAAAGCCGCTCCGCGTCTCCCTGGTCTGCTGGGGGAGGCGCTAGCTTTGCGTCTCCCTGGTCTGCTGGGGGGGAAGCAGCTAGTGCGGGGTTGCCTCACCCCGTTTGTAAGTAGGGATCTGATGTAAGTCGGATCCATGTAACCCGGGGACTGCCTGTATTTTATTTGTCATAATAACACAATATAGTTACTCCAGTTTCAATTGTTTTGGTAATTCATTTCAAAGTACCTGTCAGCAAGTATGCATATAACAATGCAGACAATAAAAAAAAATTCAGGAAATATTTTTCGGCAAGTAGATTCCTTACTAGGAATATTAAATACAAAACTGTGTGTAATTAATTTAAACTACAATTCAGAAACCTATTTTCCTCACTCAGAAGCAGTGTGAAACTCTGACTCTCCCAAGCTAACAGAGCTGTTAAGGGGGAGGGAAGTAATTGCTGGGAAGGATCTGGTGACTGAACCTGGAAGGCTGTTTGTTGTAGGTCGGAGCAACATGAGACAGAGAGGGAACAGGTTTTGGGAAGGGGGCACAGGAGGAAGGATTGTTGGGGAGCATCTCATGCAAACACTGTCTGACTCTCCCATTTAGTCAGGCACATTTGCATATGTCCCTGTATAGCTCTGCACCCTTGTTCAGCCAGGTATAGCTACCTTGTCTCCATGTATCCTAGCCCTCTCATATCCCTGTATTCCCACTCCCATTCAGTCCCTGGTTTAATGTTGTTACTCCATTAACTCCTGTACCCTCCACCAGCCATTCTGAGTTTGTATGACTCTCCAGCAGCCCCATGTGCCTCACTCTTTGTCCCTCATATCCCATGCCTGGTAAGCTGCTCATATGGGCAGGGTGTTGAAAGGAGGGCAGCTTCTCCCTCCTTGCAGTTGGCTGCTCCAGCCCATGAGTGAGTTGCTCTCTCTTTTGGCACACATCAGCCCCTGTTTGTCAACACGAGTAATTGCACCATAGCCCCTCTTTTGGCTTTCCTTTGCCTTCCTGTTAGAATTCGTTGCTTTGTGAGGAGGATAATAATCTGCAGGGGATATTAATTCTGCACTTGGCAGAAGTCCAGAATTCCTTCAGGAGTAAATTCCGATATTCCTGTGACTGCATTAGAATACATCTCTGTAATAAAAATAGCCAACCTGTAGATGTTACATTTTCTATTGCCTTCCACCCGAGCCTAGACTTTAAGGTTGTCTTTATTTTTGAGTAAGCTATGGCTTCATGAATGCAGAGTGTTATAGCACACACACATTATTTTTACCATAATCCATCTGGCATGCCTAGTTTCAAGATATTGGTAATGGAATACTTGACTTGGAGTTGAATAGACTTCAGGGACAGAACTCTTAAGTACGTGGTCAACACATCAGTTTTATGAGCTAAAACAGCAGTTCCCAACCTTTTCCAGATGGGGACCAATTTTGACAATTCAGGAAGACTTGGTGACCCAAGGCAATTCAAAAACGGGGGAGGAGACGGGGCAGAGCCACCTGAGGAGACACTTGGCAACTCTTTTGAAATGTAATGGCGACCCATATTTGGATGGCGACCCATATTTGGGTCCCGACCCATAGGTCGGGAAACCCTGCGCTAAAAGCTTAGACAATATGTTCTTTAGTAATTGTACCTTCAATTAAAATACAACCTAGATGTTCAGGCTGTGGTGGGGGAGGATGCAGAATGTTACGTAACTGATCCTATTGTTCTTACTCTGTTGGTAGGATATTGGACTTCGCTAAAGATGCTAGGATAGGCCAAATTTGTGCATCCCATCAACTTCTTTCTTGCTAATTCTTCTCCCTGACTGGGATCAGAGAAAGGGATCAATATAAATTTCTAATTAACACTACCATGGAATAAATCTTTAACTTTGTATTTCTAGACAAGAGTCAGAATTCTCGAGTCAGTGTAGTATTTTCTCCTTATCTTGGGGGAAAAAAGTGTTTTAAGTATGAGATTTTTTTTTTCCAAAGAAAAAGTGTAGCTTTATTGTGGTGGATTGGTATACTGAAATGTGATCTTTATCTGTTCCCTTGATTCTCTTTAGGGCTCTGGTATTGCTGCTTCTTCAGTCCTGCATGGCATGGTTTTTAAAAAAGAAACTGAAGGAGATGTTACTTCGGTCAAAGATGCCAAAATAGCTGTGTATTCCTGTCCTTTTGATGGCATGATAACTGAAACTAAGGTATGTAGGTGACCTAAAGCAATCCCATATCAGTTTATATATATATATATATGTGTGTGTGTGTGTGTGCGGTATGTGGTCTGTAGTATTTTCAGATGAATACTAACTTTAAATATATTTGACATTTGGTGATAATGACTTTTTTAAATAAAGGACTTGAGTTTCTATGTTAAAATGAAGTTCAGGTTTCTCTATCAAAGCTGTCTAAACCATGTTTTTCTCTAACTTTAATATGAAGCATTTCTTTGAGCAAAAATGCCTTTTCAAACTTTGTGAGACCACTAGCAGAAAACAAACACAAAATGTTAACATGCGCAAATAATTTGAGTCAAAATAGAGTTTGACTTAACATTTTTTTGGTGCTTTGCACATAGTGGTTTTGTTATTTAATATGACCTTTGACTTAATTGGAAATTAATTAATTGATCTAATTGCAGGTGCCTCATCACATCATGGGGGTATACAAATTTACCTGAAAAGGTCTGGTAGGGGTGGATGGAGCTGCATTGCAGTGTCTTGGTTCTTCCCTTTTGAAAAGTCCAAGGGGTGATTTGCCTTCTGCCAGAGCAATACAAGCTTACTTGACATCTAGATTAGACTAGAATGGTGTGTTCTAGAGCTATCCTGGTTGACCATTTAGAAGCTTCTGCTGGTACAGAATGTGGCTATTCGCGTGGTGCTAGCCATGTGGAGGCCATTTCACCCTATTCTCCATAAATAACACTGAGCTCTGGAAGCAAACTGGCAGCCAGGATGGTTTCTGTATATGTACTGTTTTGTATGGCTAGTATTCTGACTATTTTTGGAAGCACTGTCTTGACACTTGAGCAGCTACAGGGACAGATAAGAACAGTTCCTGTATCTGAACTCTGGACTAGAAACTAGGGCACTGATACAGGATCTGCAACTTTGAAATTTCTTTCCTCGTGGTCCACAGCTAAAATCTTGTTGACATGCAATTAAGTATCTGACACATTTCATGCACGCTTTTACTTGAGAAATAGTGATAATGTAGCATGACTTGAGGTTGTGAATAGAAGAGGGGAAAGTTCATTTTGGTGTGTTAAAGTGTCATGTAAAACATCTAGGCACAATGTACATTTCTTTTGTAAATTGAAAGATATTTCCTTTTGATAGGGCACTGTACTGATAAAAAATGCTGAAGAACTTAAGAATTTCAGCCAAGGAGAAGAAAATCTAATGGATCTGCAAGTCAAGGCAATTGCTGATGCTGGTGCAAATATTGTAGTAACAGGTGGCAAAGTGGCGGACATGGCACTTCATTATGCTAACAAATACAATATTATGTTAATAAGGTAAGACTTGCAAAAATGTAAATGTCAATATGTACCTATACATACCATACTTGTTCTTGACTCAAAATCCTGAGAATACAAAGGAATATGTAATGTAAATGTTCTTGCATAATGTGCGTGGTTATTTTTTCTCCAGTAGAGGGTGAAATTGAATATTAAGGTAGTTACAATTAGAGCATATCTATTACAGAACATAGCCTGGGTTTCTTGACAGTGGATTGAATCTTGTAAAATATGGAGTTTTAGTGTAATTGTTTCATTCTCTGTATATTAGGTATTCATTATCTGAAAGTTAATTTTGTAGTCTATGAAATCACTCATATGTCTTTTAAAAATATTTGATTTTAAGTGTTAAATGGGCAAAGAGGTAGGGGCTGTTTGTAGTGGTACATCCAAGTCACAGTAGAAGCATGATGGCCCAGTGGTGTGCAGAAGTATGCACTACTTATACTGTTTATAAATGGATAAACTGTTCCCTGGGGCTGTTGATAAGCATCTTCTATGAGCACTAAAATTCACTTTATAAACATGAGTAAACATTTAGTATAGGTATAATTATTATACGTAGGACAGCCTCATGTAAAAGACAAAACAGGTAATGTTACATTTTCATAGTTAGATCCTGTTAGAAAAGTCTTGTGTGTGTAAATGGGTAATCTTCTGTTTACAAAATAGAATCAGTGACGTGTCAAAAGAGGAGTTACTTTTCCACTGAAACAGCATTTTGAGCCCATCAGATAATTTCTGGTGAAATATGGTGTAATACAGCAGACTAAATGTTGGAACAGTAGCCTTGATCAGGTCATTAAACTTAATTTTCCCCATTAGTAAAGTAGAGGAAATCTATTATCTCTCTGTTGTAAGGATGTTGAGGATTAATAGTTAAACTTTCCAGAGGGTTAGACAAATATTAAATAAAGTTTATTCCAAATGAGATTGCTTAAAAATAAAGCATTAGTACAGTTTTTGTAATATTAGCACTAAATTCCTGTAAATAAAATTATTTATCCATGCTAACTAATTGAACCTTCAAATTGTCCTTGGAAACTTGGTACTAAAAGGACTCTTCTTTTTAAGGTTGAACTCAAAATGGGATCTCAGGAGGCTGTGCAAAACACTTGGTGCTACAGCTCTTCCCAAATTGGTATGCTATTTGCAAAGAGTATAATGACACTGGAAATAATTCTGTATGCACAGAATCTTTCTCTGACTTCTGCTTCTTTTTTCAGACGCCACCTACTCTAGAAGAAATGGGTCATTGTGATAGTGTGTGTTTGTCAGAGGTTGGAGATACACAAGTAGTTGTGTTTAAGCATGGTACGATTATTTTCGTAGGAGATCATGGTTCTGTGTTGTGACTAGAAATATATGTTTTTAACTTCTTAACTTAATTTTCTGGAAATTTCTTCCTTAACAGAAAAGGAAGATGGTGCCATTTCTACCATAGTAATACGTGGATCTACAGAAAATCTAATGGATGACATAGAAAGAGCTGTAGATGATGGTGTTAATACTTTCAAAGTACTTACTAGGGTGAGTAAAATACATATACTTCTGTTAAAATAGAGTTGTACACCAAGATATTTCTGCCAAGACACTCTAGCATGGTTTACTCTTCTGTCGATTGGAATGCAGGTGGTACTTGTATCGACATAACATGGATAAAGAATGGATAAAGAATGGGGCTACATCTACACTAATTCTTGCGCAAGAAGCCTTTTGCGTAAGAGATTTTGTGTAAAAACTTATTGCGCAAGAGCATGTCCACACCTCAAAGCACATGGCAAAAGTGATGTGCTTTTGCGCAAGAGAGCGTCCACACTGCTCAAAAAAGCTGTGATAGCCATTCTGTGAATGGCTAGCAGAGCACCTGTGCTTTTTCCTCTGGAGCATCCACGCTTATCTTTTTGCACAAGAACTCTTGAAAGGAATTATTCCTCGTAAAAGGAGGTTTACCTATGGTGGAAAAAGCCTTCTATTCTGCTATTTTACTCTTGATTTTTCCTTGTGCAAAAGCACATTTGAGGTGTGGACGCTCCACGGGTTTTTGCGCAAAAACCTTGCAGTGTAGACGTAGCCTGGGCGTGTAACTGATTTCTGTACCACTCATGCAGCTCTGGTGTTAGGAATTGGGTTTTGGCCACAGTCCACTACGCTTAGACCATTTTCAGTCACAAGATAATCTATTGGAGACCAATATGAGCTGGCAAAGCTAAAAACTATCCTGGCCAGAGAATCGTGACTTATATGTGGCACTCGGAACCATTTTCCCCATCCACCTTCTAAGCGTCTGTCTTGTTTTTCCCAGCAAGTTGAAATAAAAACATATTTTCTCTTATTTCCACTTCCTTATCTTAAAGTAATGATCTTCTCCCAAAGATGTTTGGAAATAACAGGTGCTAGATTTTTTTTAACTTTAACCTTACTAGTAAAATGCCTCACTTGATGAAGTTGGAAATGATTTCTAGAAAACTTAAACATTCAATCAGATTACTTTAAATCAAAACTACTTCAAACCACTTTGCATTTATGGTTATGTATCTGTGTTTTTTTCCCCAGGATAAACGTCTTGTCCCTGGTGGTGGTGCAACAGAGATTGAGTTGGCAAAGCAGATCACATCTTACGGAGAGGTACATAATGTGTTTTCCTCTCTCTTTATCCATTTCTTTTATTTCGAATTATTAAACAGCTTTCAAATTTTGCTTTAGACATGCCCTGGGCTTGACCAGTATGCTATCAAGAAATTTGCAGAGGCATTTGAAACCATTCCTCGAGCACTAGCAGAAAATTCAGGAGTAAAGGCTAATGAAGTTATCTCCAAACTTTATGCAGTGCATCAAGAAGGCAACAGAAATGTTGGATTTGATATCGAGGTAATACATTATGCCTGTCAAAATGCTTTGTTTCTGTGCAACAGAACACATCACATAAAATATCTAAATTCTAGTTTTTAGACATTCAGCTTTGAAATAATTGGAGCAATATGTTTCATTGATAAACTATATGAACAGCTTAGTCTACCATGAGCATGGATGTTCTGTTTTTCAACAGATATATTAGACTAGCATATGTGAGAAGCAAGGATATGTTGTTGAACGATTGTTCTCTTTTTGTGGAAGAAAATCCTCAGATAATTCTGCCTGTAACTCAGTTCATATTTCTAAAAGTTTCTCAAATGAATGTTTTATTTGGTGGAAGGGGGATAAATCAGAGAAGTATTATTTTATCACTTAATGGGTGTAGCTGTTGGTGTTTAGGATTAAAAACTATAGAACTGTTTGAAATAAAATAGGTAAACTTGGTGTGAAACTTTGAACGGGTTTTTTTTTTTCTAATAGGCTGAGGTTGCAGCTGTGAAGGATATGTTGGAAACTGGTGTGTTAGACACATATCTTGGAAAACACTGGGGTATTAAGCTGGCTACAAATGCTGCAGTGACTGTGCTCAGAGTAGATCAGGTAAAAAGTGATAACCTTAAGTCTATATTTTGTGAAATCAAGATGTATTATTGCTAATGCTCTGTGTTTGTCAGAGAGATCATGGATTCTGTGACCTCCGTGATTTCTGCAGCAGCCTGTGTGGCTGGCCTGGTGGCTGCCTGAGCAACTCAGGCAGCTTCAGGCCCAGTTGCATTGGTCACAGTTGGGTCAGTCTCAGGCCCACCCTCACCCCCCAAATCCCTAGCAGCAGGAGTTTGGGGGGCACTCAAGACTGGGGTTGGGGTATGGGGAAGTGCTTACCTGAGGGGGGGATCCCCTTCCTCCAGCTTCTAGTTCCACTTACTGCCGCTGCCCAGAGGCACTGCCCCCACAGCTCCCATTGGTGGTGGTTCTCTGCAAATAAGAGCTGCAGAATCCAGGCTTGGTGTGGAACGGAGTCAGCGCACAGAGCTGGTAGCTGTAATGCCCATGACTTGTCCATGACTTTTTTACTAAAAATACCATGACTCAAATGCAATCTTAATTATTGCTGACCATGTTGCTAGATTCAAATCTTTGAAAGGTGAGGCAAGGTGCCATATCAAGAAAAACTTCCACGTCTGTATTTGAAATGCTTTTTGTACAGTAACATGGAAGGCATGAGCTGAAGATTTTTTTTTAGGTAGTTTAATAACTTGGTATTTTATGGAACTTTGGCAGCAGTATGTATGATGTACGTAAAACTTCTGTAGATTATTATGGCAAAACCAGCAGGCGGTCCAAAAGCTCCTAAACAAGGACACTGGGATAAGGATGAATGGAAAGATGAACCCAAAAAATAGCGTGCTGTAAGATCTGTGGCACTTGTCATGTTGAGTTCAAATATCTGTTGCATGAATGTAGCCACATTCAACATGGAGCTAATGTCCATTGTTCCCTTTCAGGGGCACACTGTCACTTTAACTACCTGTTTGACACATGGTGGGTTGTAGTGAACTCTTTTTTACTGAAACTAACGTCTATGGTGATATTTACTTTTTTAGTGTAATATCATTATGGAAAACATACTTTATTTAAAACCAAATCTTAACAGAAGAGAGCTGTAGCTGACATTTTTGGAAGTCGTTTTTATGCTGGGAAATCCTCATGTCAGTGATTTGAAATACACAAAAAAGAATAATTTGAATGTCTATTACAGATTATCTTGAAACACTTCCTGTAATATATTGCATGCGTTCAATAAACTGTCTAGATGTTGAACTTTTTCTAACCAAATTTAGGCTTTAAATTTAATGGAAAAATAAATTGGGAACAGGTCTGTCTATCTTAGCTGTACACTTTTACACCTTACTTTAAAAAAAAATTAACTGAGAATACTAAAATTGTATTGGGGAAAACAGTATCTTCTGGTGTGCTAACTTGCTGAATGTTTGCTGAAATATGGGACACATCCAGTGGCAAAAACCTGGCTTTTAGATCATATGAAAGTAACAGATTTTCAGGAGTTTAGCGAATGCTGCTTAAACTGCACTGCTGATGCTGTAGCAAGAAAAAAAATCCAATGTGAGGGTTATCTTAACCTAATTTTTTTTTCTCCAAGATCATCATGGCAAAGCCAGCTGGTGGGCCTAAACCTCCTTCAGGAAAGAAAGATTGGGATGATGACCAAAGCGAATGAACACCTTGTCACTGTAGTTTGAGTGAAGTAGGATTGTATGTATCTTCTTGTACTCCTGTTGGGGCCTCACATGTTTTCTCCCTCACCTTAAGTTATGAGACTGTATCAGTAAAGCGTACGATACTGCTACCATTTCAATAAACGAACCTGAAATATAAAAAGACTCAATTTGTTACCTTTTCCTATTAGACTTGCAGCCTTAAAATGTACATTCACGCACACAATGTTACTTTTGAGTATAAATCTATATTAAAGGTACAGGTTGCTTTGAATCTATATTGCTTCTGTTAACCTTTATGTGAAACACCCCTGCCCCCTACCCGAACACTGTTAACATTGAACCTTTCATTAGGGAGAAATCTAGAATCATAAGCATAGGACTAAAAAGAGAACTCTCCAGGTAATCTAGTCTAATCACCTATGTTCAGGGCAGGACTAAGAAATAACTAGACCTTTTCTGACAGGTGTTTATGAAACCTGTTCTTAAATATCTTCAATAATGGAGTTTCTACAGTCTTCCTAGTTAACTTGTTCTAGTGTTTAAGTTCCCTGTAGGGATGTAAAATTTAGATTAGCTAATCAACTAGTCAATAGGATTTCCATCGACTATTCAATTAGTCAATAAGGGCGCCTCTGCCTTTGAACTATAGAAAGAGCCCTACTGGGGCTCTTGTACATTTCAAAAGCAGAATTGCAGCAGAAACAGTGTGAGCAGAGACTGCTTCAGTCCCCATTCATGTAGTTCCCTGCTGAGCCGCTACCTCCCCTGCCCCCCCTCCCCCCCACCTGCTAGCTGCTTCCCCCTTGCTGCCTCTCTCTGAGAGGCAGCAAGGGTGGGGGAAGGGACTAGTTGCCTCACTAGTTGATCATCTGATAAACTTATATAGTTGATTAGTAGCTTAATCCCGAGTTCCCTGTAAGCTGCGCGGCCACACAGCTACTTATTTAGCAATGTGCTCAGCAGGGACCTGTGGCAGCCTGGGGAGGGCTGCTCCACTCCTTGATCCAACCTAGCAGTCCACCCTCCAACCTGCCAGGGTGGCCCAGTCCCAATTTTCTTGTGAGTGGAGGTGGCCCGTCCCCTGCTCTAGCCTCGGTGCTTTTGTAAGGGGAGAGAGAAGGGGGAGTCTCTTTCCTTGCAGTAGACCCAGAGCACCCTCCTTCATCCCAAACCCCTCCTGTACTTGGCCCTACCCTATAGCCTGTACCGCTAGCCATAGCCCCCATGCTCCTACACCCTTACCTTCTACTCCAGCCCTGAGCTCTTCATCCCACCCCAGAGCTCGTACCCCAACCCTGAGCCCTCTCCCATTCTACTAATCACTTTGCCCTATTCCTGCCACAACAACATTTATGTGCACCATTATGAAGGTGATGTCACACATCACTTCCTCCTTGGTGCATATAACACATCATTCCACTCAGGTTTGGGAAAAATGTGGGAACATTGGTGCGTAACTACCCCGACAGAAAGTTTTCCTAATGTCCAATTTAAACCTCCCTTGCTGCAATTTAAGTCCATTTCTTCTTGTCCTGAGGTTAAGAGAAGAAATATTTTTCACTCACTTCCCTGTTACAATCTTTTATGTACTTGAAAACTTAATATCTGCCTCAGTCTTCTCTAGACTAAGCAATCCCATTTTTTTCAGTCTTTCCTCGTGGGTCATATGTTTTTAGATCTCTCATCATTTTTGTTGCTCTCTTCTGCATTTTCTCCAATTTGTTCACCTCTTTCCTGAAATGTGGCATCAAGAATTGGACACGGCATGCCAGCAGAGGCTTTATCTGTGTGGAATGGAAGAATTGCTGCTTTCTTGCTTACAACACTCCCGCTCATACATTTCAATTACATTGACTCATTTAGCTTGTGATCTATTAAAAGAACAAATCATTTTACACCAGCTTTGACAAATCCATGTTAACTGTTATCACCTAATTATCGTCTAGATATTTACAAACTGATTGCTTATTTACTCAATTATCTTTCCAGGTACTGAAGTTAAGCTGACTGGCGGGTAATTCACCAGGTTGTCACTTATTCTTTTTACAAGTAACATTGGTTCTTTAAACTAAGCTTTAAAAAGTAACTACTGCCCTACCTGAGCCCACTGGCATTCTGGCTGCCATGCCTTTGGCTCAGCCAGACTATTGTGGCAGGGCTTCTGGCCACACTACGGCCAGCATGGGTGGATTCCTGGCCCCTGCGGGGCTCCTGCCTCTGATCATACACCATCTGGGATCCTGACAGACCCCACATATTGCTAGACCAGAGAGTTCCAGTCAAGAGAGGGTCAACCTGTAATTTCATTTTACTTGTAATTTTCAAAATGAAATGTCAAATAGTTTCACCCAAGGTGGCATTTGTCCTTTTGTGTTTAGATTGCAAATAGTGTGGTGATTTTTTTTTTTTAACTTCTACTAGAACTATACAAATAGTTAATGGAAATGTTAGTCTTAGCTCCTATGAAAGTTTCCTTAACTACAAAGCTAAAAGCTGTATCTTTGAGGACACCTATTCAAGGTGGATTGATTTTAAATCAAGTCAATTTAAATCACCAGATAGGGTCTCTTACACCTAGGAGACATATGACAGTTTTCTGTGGCAAAAGTGGGGTGGGGGGGTATAGAAAACTTTGTGCTTTTCTGTCCAGTTCACTCCACTGTACTTTTCTATGCTACCTCCATCCTTTCCTATATAGTCTCATTCTCTCTTTCTCTTTAAAACAATGTTTTAACTAAGTTCTTTGCCATGCTTGTCCAAGGTCCACCATCACATAAGCACAGAACAAAAACAATCCTATCCATCTTGTCTCTTTGCACGTGTTACTTTAGTCTGCTGAGAAACGGAACTGGAAAGCCCAGAACTTTTAAGAACCAAGAGCTGGTAGTTAGGCTGGACTGACAATAGCCATGAATTAATTTTTGAGACTGTTAAGGGGAAGTGTAGATGTTCAGGTTGGACCTCCCTGGTCTGGCACCCTTGGGACCTGAGCTGTCCCTGACCAGGGGAGGTTAGTGCTGCCCTGCTCTTGGACTCCTCTCTTTGGGCTTACTGCCCTGCTGCTGACCCTGCTAAAACTGACCTGGCACGGCTCCCCACCTTGCTGCCTGCTTGCTGCCCTAGGGTCTCCCAGAGTTCCCAATGTGGACTGCTTGGCGGCTGCTGCAGGGCATTCTCAGGGGTTCCCGGATGGGGACCTCCCAGCTCTGCTGCTGCCGGGGCTGCCCAGCCACCCCATTCTGCTGCTGGGGATTCCAGCCTCTGCCAGCCCCACTTCAGCCCCAGAGGAGGCTGCCTGGTCATCTAAGCTTCACTGCCAACGGGTTTCCTGGAGTTCCTGGCCTTGCTAACACTGCGGGTTCCCTAGCTAGGCAGGAGATCCCTGGCTGCTGCCTGGCCCCATTAATGCCGAGGTTTTCCCAGATGCTGCTTGGCCCAGCTGCGGTTCCCTGGTTCCTGCATTCCTCCGGGGCTCTTTGGTCCAGCAACATCCCTGGCCCTGCTGGACCACGGATGTTATCGGACCAGAGTGTCACTGATTTGGGAGGTTCAACCGGTAGGATGTTTGTGATGAGATTTAATTGTAACTTATTTTTAAATGAGAAATATTTTATTTAATTAAAATGCAGTATGACTGCAGAAATATAAAATTCTGTACAGAAAGTTGCTGTTCCACATGGAATTAACACCATGAGGGAAACTGTATTTGCAGATTTTATAAGATTGGCTTTTTACTTACAAAAAGCAGAGTGGAGCTTGGCAGGTGAAGCAAAACCCCTTTTCTCAGACATTTTTGGACCGATCATGACGGGAGGGGAGGATATACTTTTGAAAAATGTGTTCTACGTCTTTTCTGTGAAGAAATGCCACAACTTGTGGACCATCTCTCAGTACCTGATGATTTGGCACCTGGATCTTATATGAGGTGAATGCCCTTTTTAAGTTGGACTGTGGACAGGAGCTCCAATACGTTGTACAGAACTTCTGGTAAATGTAACTCCTTACATTAAGATCTTTGTGAGTGCCTATCCTAAATACTCAATTTTGCTCCTATAAAATATGTATTTTTAAAAGGCTCAAGCCTTTGGAGATAACACATTTCAGCATATAACTAATTGTATGAACCTCACTTCTAGTGAGCTTAAGCCAAGATGAACAGATGTTAAACTCTTGTACGAAGTGAACATTCTTTATCCTCAAACCTTACAGTAGAATTAAGTCTAGTTTACATCACAGATCTATAGCTGTATTACTACATACTTACATGATGTCATATATGGGATCGATCTATAACCGTATAACAATCCACATCCTTGAGTAATAATGTTATATATAGATCTACTGGCTGCTGTAGCTAGCATTCAGTGGGAGTGCTTTTCCTGCCTTTATAGCCTGGTCTACACTATGGCTGCGTCTACATTGGCACCCTTTTCCAGAAAAGGGATGCTAATGAAACACTTTGGAATTGCAAATGTCGCGGGGATTTAAATTTTCCCTGCGGCATTTGCATGAACATGGCTGCCGCTTTTTTCCGGCTCGGGGCTTTGCCGGAAAAAAGTGCCAGTCTAGACAGGGATCTTTTGGAAAATAAAGCCTTTTCTGGAAGATCCCTTATTCCTGATTTTAAGAGGAATAAGGGATCTTCCAGAAAAGGCTTTATTTTCCGAAAGATCCCTGTCTAGGCTGGCGCT